TGTTTGGCAGGTCCGGGCTGGGGATTCGAACCCGCCACCTTAGGTGTACGTGGCTGGCGCCTTAGCCGGTTGAGCTATAGGTGCCGAGCCTATATCTGTGTTATTGATGTCTAATTTAATTTTATGGTCAGAGAATATAGCTAGTATGATTCCAATTATTTTAAATTTACTGAGACTTTTCTGCATATGGTCTATCTTGAGTATTCTATGTGTACCCGAAAAGACTACATACTATACAATTACTAGGCAGTGTTTACTAAGGTCATGGATCAAGTCAACTGATAATGCTATTTGAACTGTCTATAGGCTTATTTTCAGGGTAGGTTTAATCAGTTCCTGGAGGAGGAATTTGTGGACTTGTCTATTTCTCCCTTTAGTTTAAGTCAATTTTTGGCGTATATATTTTGAAGCCATTATTAGGTATATATTTAGGAGCATTACAAAATGTCTCTATTTTCTCTGGGAATATTCCTTGTCTTAAAAGTCTCTTTATCTGAGAGTAACATAGTTTTATTATGCTTTTGTGTTTTGCATGGTATATCTTTGTTCAATTTAAAGAAATTGAAAGTCTTTATTTAAAGTCTTTCTCTTGCAAGTAGCATACAGATCCATCTGATTTTTTTATCCAGTTTGACTATCTCTCTTCAGTGGCGTGTATAATCTACTTATGTAGCGGAGTTTAACTCTACCATCTTAGTAGCTTTCTACATGTTTCCCCTGTTCCTTGTTCCATTACCTTCCCTTTCCTACTTTTTGGGAATGAGTTGTTTTTAGTATTCCATTTAATGTATTGTCCTTTTAGCTGTACTTTTATATTTTTTAAGTGGTTCCACTAAGGAAATCAAAATTTAACTTTCTCACAAATCAAAAATACTCTAAAATCTCAAATCTATATGCAGTGTGAACAACTGGTACTTTTCATTCAATTTTACTGGTATTTTACCTATTACTTAAACACTACTACATTTATGTGAATCCCTACCATTTGCAAATTGATTAAGTGATTCTCTTAAATCTTCTTCAGGAATGACGCATTTACATCAATGTCAGTCAATGTGCCCACCCACTGTGAAGCCTCAGACTGAGGTCTCAAGGCAAAGGAGAGAGATTGCATAGAAAACTGTCCTGCTACCGTGAAAAGCAATGTGAGCTCACTTCCTTATAAATCAGTCTGACCTTTATATTATTTCTATCCTTAGCACATATACATCTGTTTAACATTTCAAGCTTTATATTTAAAATTTATGAATTAGGCTTGGCTCCTATAGCTCAAGCAGCTAGGGTGCCAGCCATATACACTGGAGCTGGCAGGTTCGAATCCAGCTCAAGGCCTGCCAAACAACAATGACAAACACAATAAAAAATAGCCAGGCATTGTGATAGGCGCCTATAGTCCTAGCTACTTGGGAGGCTGAGGCAAGAGAATTGCTTAAGCCCAAGAGTTGGAGGTTGCTGTGAGCTGTGATGCAACAGCACTCTAC